TAATGGCAGTTTTACCTGGAGAGGCTTGGTCTTACAGGTAATTTTTTTTTTTTTTTTTTTTGATATTTGGCAGATTGTAAAGTAAAGTAAAGTAAGACGATCCAAGTATTAGAGAAACGGTGACATTTCAAACAGAAAGTACGATTGCGCCTGACATTTTGGAGAGCTGCTTAAAAGGCTGAGAGCATGCAGTTGAGCAAGACAGGTCAGTTGATTGCTAGAAAGGTTTAACTCCTCAGTGTACAATTTAATGAATGAAGCAGATAATATACTAGGAGTATTTGCGGAATAACAAGTAGCATGAGGAGAGGAAATCCAGACATGTATGACTAGCTACCTTTGAAAATCTCAAGCTCTAAAAACAAGTTTTGATATTCGGCTGTTGGCGATTTAAAAATGTCACGAAAAGACGGGCATCAAAACTTAAAGGTAGAAAAAGGGCATTTTAATGTCAAGAAGCTGCTGGTTTTAATTTAGGGCTTATGCTTCATTTTCTCTGTTTCCTGCCCCCAAATGGCAGGAAACCACATTGTTTTTCAACCATCATGCCATTGACATTTAGTGATGCAGCGTATAAGTGCACTCAGAGTTGGGAAAAAGGGAGAAAAGATTGGGGAATGTAAGTGTGAGCAACCCATTTTAATGCGTATGGGCACTGTTTCTGAATTGTCTGCTTACGTTTCAATTTATTTTTAATGAAACATGTTTTAGTTACCTAAGTATCTTGCCTGTTGCTTGAAAGCATGTTCTGATAAAAGGACTCCTACATTGTTTTGGTACTGATCACCCAAAAGTGAAGCTATTACAGGTAGTCCTTGACTTACAACCATTTGTTTAGGAACTGTTTGAAGTTACGAAGGTGCTGAAAAAGTGATTTACAGCCAGTCCTTGTACTTACAACTGTTGCAGCATCCCAATGATTGTGATTCAGGCACTTGGCAACCATCACATATTTACTATGGTTGCAGCATCCTGTGGTCACATGATCGCCATTTGCGACGTTCCCAGCTGGCTTCCAACAAGCAAAGTCAATGGGGAACCTGGCAGGGAAGGTCGCAAGTCAGGGTCATGTGATGTTTTGCTTAATGACTGCACCATTTAACGATGAATTTTCCAATCCCTATTGTGGTCATAAGTTGAGGACTACCTGTACAATGAAAGCCAACATCACAAGCTAGTTCCGAAGAAAGTTATATGTACTAGTTAATGATACTGGCTCATTTTTGGGAGTAAGTGTGACACTTCGTTCCTTGGGAAAGCATTCCATTGAAAGACCCTGGGACCTGTGCAGGAATTGTTATTTGGACATTCCTTCCTGCACCTTTTGGAACATTTTGGTGCTGTTGAGAAATGTCAGATCTCTGTGTTGTGTGTTTCAGGCAGCCTGTGTGAATTGTGGGAATGCAGTGTACCAGTTTCCGCGAAGGTTCAACAAGCACTCTTCCTCCCCATCCCAGATTCCTTTCCACAGATTAATTTATACATTCAAGTCCTGCGTCATTTCCTAAAATAGAAGAGTTAACTTTGGGATTAGTCCATCCCTTTAAATGATTGAAATTATGATAGGAATCACAGTTGCTAGGCAAAAAAGGCGTATGTGTAAATATTTGTGTGTAAAATTCTGATCTGGATTGTGTTCCTTTGCTACTGCTAAAAATAGTCTTATTTTTGTGATAATTTTGCAAGATCTCTTTAAGAATTGGTTTTAAAGTATTAAAAGCTGCCCCCCCTTTTTTTTTTGGTGCAGAAATGTCCCTTTAAACAATTCAGTAAAAAATTTTGTCAAAATGGGCCTAATTGATGAAGGGATGTCTTAATTTGCAGCAAAGTTACTTGCCACCTTGTAAACCAGGTTAGTGGTTTGTTGATTTTCTTCTTGTAGGCTTAAGTAATTGCCATTCTACCTGCAAGATTTCCAGCTAAACTCACCAAACTTGTTCTTGCGTCATAGCAGAAGTAGATAGTTCAGACCAACTCAACTCCTGATTTTGACTTTTTTCCAAATAGCAAATGGAGCTTCTTTCCAATGATACAATGAACTTGTTTCTGGGCTGCACCACTTTAGACTATCTTCCCTAAGTTGGTACCCATTGGGCAGTGTTGGACTACAACTCCCATCATTGTTGGGCACACTCAGTTGCATGGCCAGCCCAGAGACAGAACTACTACGACTGTAATGTAAGGTAAAATGCTGGTTGGGGAATTCTGGGAGTTGAAGTCCATGCATCTTAAAGTTGCTGAGGTTGAGAAACACTGCTCTAAATTATTTTCAGCAAAAGTTGCTCAGTTGTATACCACACGTGTGACATTTGATATACTTCACAGTGCATGGAAATAATGTATAAGAACTTAATGAATTACCGTCTAAAAAGATAATATGAATTTTTCTTTCCGCTCGCTGTCAAAATAAGTTTCTGTTCTGTGCACCACCTCTAAGGCATTACTCTAACCATTGGTCATTGAACTTTTAAGATTTTTCACCTGTTACCCAATAGTTGTGTTTCCTGAAGAAGTGTAAAAGAAAAGAAGAAAGGAAATCTATGGAAATGTGAATAAACAAATGAGAGATGTTAATTCTGAATTGGATGTATTTGTGTGTTTATGGTTGTTAGGATAACATAGTGGAGAGGTTGACCTGCTTAATGTAGCTTTGTATGTCTGAAAGCCTTGGTGATACAGCTTTCAAGAAACATGGCTAGGACGGCTGTTGGAAAAGTCAATGTTGTGGCTTGTGTTGACTCAGGCTCCTTGTATGACCTTGAAAGCTGTTGGTGTAACCTGTAGGAACTGCAGTTAGATGTGTGTTTCCTTGATGGCAAAGTACATTTCTCTTGACTAGGGCTGCGTTCCAAATCTGGAGGAAGCCCAAGGCAAGTTGGACTAAAGTGGAACAGATTGTCCTGTACCCAAGGCAGAGCAGATGGCTGTAACCCTCCCTTATTGTTGATCCAAACCCTCTGTGAAGCTCCGGTTCCCATCTGTTCTGGAGGACTGCAAAGGGCACCATGGCAGCCATTCCAATACATGTAGTAATAGTCATTACCACTTGGATAAAATGCCATGGGTGTGGGGGAGGAGGCAGTCTGTCCCTGCAGTCGTGGTTTGCCCCAATCATAGGCTCTTGGATTGCAAAGCAAATCATTTTAATGCAAAATGCACACGTTGGACATCTGCAGGCACTCAAATGTCAAGTTGGGGATCCCGGGCCTAAGAAGTCGCTAGCTTAAAGATGTAACTTTCTCCCTTCTCAGAAGAAGCTTGAGGAAACTCAAGAATCCAGTTAAATGGTGCAGTAGGGACCGGGGCCAAAGTATCTTGCAAAACCATTTTCAGGCCAAAATGGAGGAGCTGGGAGGCTGAATACAGCAGGGAAATGGTACAGTAGTGCTAAACTAATTTCAAGTGGTAGAACTATTTAATTACCAATCTTTAGAAACCATTTTCTCTTCTAGTTCATTATTCCTTTAGCCAAGGTATGCAATAATGATCAACCTGCGTCTAGAAAAAAAAGTTGTATGGTCAAAGATTCAAAGGTTCTTGAATCTTAATCTGTGTGCTTTAGCCCTCCGAAGGGTAGAATTTATCCCTAAATTCAGCAGCCTGGAAATTCCCTTTAAAACAAAAGGTACAGCATTCCCTAACCTGGTGTCCTCCAGATGCATCGGGCTACATTTCCCATACAGTCCTCACGATCTGGTTAGCAGAAGCCAGGCGCATCTACAGGGAGAGGTGATCAAGCAACGAGATCTGCACTGGGGCATCACAACACAAACCCTACGTCAGTGAGGCTGTTGGGTTGGGATGTCTGTCTGCATGTTGTTTCCTCCCATTTTTCTGCAGATGCCTATGGCCACGCACACTGAAGGGGAGAAGTCATTCCAACTTGATCTGAAAATCCTCAGATTCATCACTGATCAAGAATACTCTTCCATTGTGTGCTTACGATTGACAGTCACATGCAGTCACAGTAGTTTAGATGTCTCCATTCTTTGGATCATGTTGATCGAGCCTTCCGATGTGGGCTGCATAAACATGGATGACTGTTCAAGGGCAGCTGAGCAAGACAGAACACTCCAACTTTACAGGCATCTAGTGGTCATCTAGCTTTTTGCAACCCAAATCTGATAACACTAATGTTGAACAGAGGATTCATTTTATGGAACAAGATCATTGAGGTAGCTCCTGTCCCATGCAGTGAAAAAAATACAAACGTCTTCTCCCATTCATCTTTGTCAAGGCTAATGTAAGAGTTCCCTGAATCTTTTAGGGCCATTTTCTGACCCTGATGCAGTTTCTCTCGATCTTGTTAAAATGTGCCTGGACCTGGAGGCAATAATCAAGATCTAACAAATGCAAAATGTAGTGGAATCACCCCCTCTTGTGACTCAGAACCATACTTCTGTTGATGCAGCCTAAAATTGCATTTGCGGTGTCACACTGCTGACCCCGCTTCTGATCAATTATAATTTGAATAACGGGTACAGGGGTTTTCAAATTTCTTCAGGCTATGGAATCCGCTAGTAAAAAAAAATCAAATCAAATCAAGAATTCCCATCAAGAGAGGCAAAACTCCAGTGACAGAAAACTGGATTTGAGTTAACCTCTTTTTACCCTCAGTGATCCTTTTTTTCACATGATCACAACTGCCATCTTTAATGTTGGACCTCTATCCCCCCCCCCCGCAACAGACACCCCTGACCTTGTGTGTGTGCATGTTTGTGGTGGTGTTCTCCTTTCTCATGGAATCTCAGTGTCATGGAACCATAGAGTTCCATGGAAGACTTTGAAACCCCTGCTTTAATCCAGCCTACCAGAATTAGGCCAAGGCGGATTAAAATTCGAGCCCTAACACGCCAGGAATACAATAAATTGGGAGAGATCGCTTGACCATGGTTGGTCTTAAGCTGGTTTCTAGACTCGGCAGAACCATAACCTATCCTAGGGAGGACATAAAATACATCAAGGATACCAAACTAATGGAATTCTTCGGCACGCGAGAAAGAATAACCATAAATGGCATCAGTGATGTCTGCTCCTTCCCGCCCAAATTTTGAGGTTTCACCTCTGGGAAGGTAAATCTGGCTAGGCAAGGGGGGTGAAAAAAAGTCAAGCTGGCAGCTGTGACTGTGCAGCTAAAGTCCTGCACCACCTTGACTTTTACCTCCCTCCAACAGGGGACTCAAGGCCAAGAATACTCAAGTTTCAGTAAGTTGTACACTATCATCCTAAGCTGCTTTTGCATTAAACCCTTCTTTATGCAGTATGCCACGGTGGTCGATCGCTGAACCAGATGAATCCAATCCATTCCCAGGAGCCAAGTTCCTCTCCCGGCTGCATGACAGCTGTATGGGACAGGAGGGCGAGCAGATGTTCTTGTAATGTTTCTGACTGCATATATTAATACTGGCCAATTTCTGCACTCTGGGATTTGCCCAGGAGGTGGCTCTAGGGTGGTTCAAAAGAGCCAAGAGGGTGGTCATCAAAAAGGGGCAGGTCCTTGACTGCATGGTTGTGACTGCCATTGTCAGTATCCTGACCCCACCTATGGACACTCTTGCAGGCCCATACTTTCAACTACAGTCCAGGGATATTGAGGACCTTCCTTCCGTCTCCTCTTTGAACAGGCGGTCTTTTATTAACACTGCGCCTTACGACGATCTACCATTGTTCTCCCCCCCCCCCCCCCCCCC